TTCTTTCTTTCTTTCTTTCTTTCTTTCTTTCTTTCTCTCTTTGGTTATTGTTGCTAGTTCTTGTTTGTTTTCTGAGTGTAAATGTTTGTGGGGAATTGTTCTCTGCTCCTTGGGTCATGTCTTCTTCAGGACGGAGCTCTTTTTCTTTCAGCTCCCTCTCTGCACTAATGCTCTGCTCTCAGGATGGGTAGCACTGCCCTGACCTTTTATTTACTCTCATGTGTTCTGGAACATTATCTTTGATTCCTTTCCCAACTCACTTCAGGCTTATTTTTCCAGCCCCTCTCAGCTATAGTCTGACAGCTGGACCTCATGGGTGGGGATGTGGCCTAGAGCTGCAGCAGTCACAGGGAGCATCTGTGAAGTATTTGACTCCCCTACTCATGAAATGTTGCTAAGTGCCCCTCCATGGTTCTCCGTAGTGTCTCAGTTGCTCTTCCTGATCGAGATGGCATCTGGGTTACCCCTGAAGGTGTTCACAGCTCACCTAGCTGTCCTTGGTGGCTTATTTCCCACATTTGTGCATCTCTCCAACAAATGCCCCAGGCCCTCCATAGCTTGGAAAGAAGAAAGATAAACCCCCAGTCTCTTTGCAAATATGGAGGTATTTGAGAACTGGTGGGATATGTGCAACTCACCAGCTCCCCAACCTCTAAGCCTCAGAGTGGGGAGGTGCAGCATGTCCCCTAGAGACTGGCAGAATCCTAAGCCCTTTCCTTAGTTCCTCTCTTTGAAGTTCATGCCAGGAGGCTGTGCTTCTGTCCTTATTAGAAAGCTGTTGGGCATGCTTTTGCTTTTTTTTTTTTTTTTTGATTAAACAATTTGTATGAATTGTGTGGACTGTGTTTTCATTTACCCTGGCACCTAGTTGTTACTTTTGCTCAGCTCTCCTTCCATTTCCCTTTGAACTCTGCTGCCTGTCAGCCTTCCAGCCCCTCCTGATGTCATCTTTCCAGGGTCACAGTGACCCTCCCCTGCAGGCTCAATTCTTAGTCCTCTTCCTTCCAGGCCATGGCCGCCACGACTATTCCTAAAACTCCTCATAGAGACTGTTAGTCCTATGCCATTCTTAAATTGATCTGATGGAATCTCCAGGCACCTACATTTTAGTGAATGCAGATCCAAAAAATAATTGCCAGATTAACCACTGGACAGAATTGGAATTTGCTTTTTTTGGTTTTTTGTTTGTTTGTTTGTTTGTTTTAACTTATAACAGCTAATTGAGTGTTGTTAGGTGTTAAAACAAGCAGTCTGGGACTGAACAGATTAGCATACAGTTTATTAGGAAAGTAGGAGCTGACAACTGTGATCCCTTACTTGGTAGGAGATTCTCGTCCCTCCAGGTTCCAGGAAAAGTCCCCCCCCACCCCCCGCCTCCAAAAAAAAAACCCATACCTTTATTTCTCCCTTTGGTTTTCATTTGTTTCAGGCATACTGCAAATATGGCACATTGGGACCCCTGTCGTCAGGAGCCCCCTCATCCAGTTATAATGTCTCACTTCTGTCTCAGAACTCCCAGCACACTGAAGAGAAGGGCTGAGATGGCGAGGGTACACAGATTCCCTAGGGTGCACTTCAGTTTGTGTCAGCGGGCAGTGGCTGGAAAGGACTACTGTCACAAGTCCACCCAGGGCGAGGCAGCCTGCAAGAGGGAGCAGGAAAGCTGGTGCCCTGTGGTTAGCCTTGGGTCTCTAGTAGGAGTGAGAGGACCCAACCCAGTCCATCCTGATCATAGATGCTTGGGAGACTTCAGATGAGAAACAAGAGTCTCAAAGACTGAGTGCAGAAGGCACATCACAAATCCCAGCAGACATCTTGGAGATGCCCAATGTGTTTGGTCTGTGTGGTATCTGGCATTGGTTGGCAGCCTCCAGCTAGCTGCTGAGCTGCCTGTCCATCTTAGCTTGGAGACAGGGATTAGCAGATGCTGCAGAATGGTAACCCACTAAGAGGCAGAACACCATCTTTCTTAAAATAAAAGGGAGGAGGGGGAGGTTTTCATGGGGACCTTCATCACTACCCCGTATCTACCCAGAATTCCAGATCCCTTTGCTTACACCCTATCAAAAGCGGAGGAGCTATGGAGCCAGTTGTAACTTGAAAATGTGAAAGGGTAGAATTAAGGTTAACTCTGAATTTCCTGCTTCCCAAGCAATTAAATTCTTCTCCCTTGTTATTAAGTTAATGTCATCTCCCCCCCCCACATAATTGAGCATAAATTACTAGGAAAATAGGAGATAAGTTTGTAGGTACTATATAGACATAATGGGGTGAAATTAGTAAGAAGTAATAATTAGAGTCACAATTAAATAGTTACAGTTCTTGGATTTTTAAGAATCAAAAAATCGGAATCTTGTCAATAAGTCAGTGATCCACTAACACAGTGATTTACAAAGAGATCTCTTAATTAAATCATGATAAATTTCTAATGCAGCAGTTTACAAAATGTTTTTTTAAATAATAGGCAAATACTCTACTACTAGCCTATTTCCTTAGTCCCAGTAATTTTTAAAATAATAAAAATAATGACTTTAAGACCCTCAGGCAAGGGTGGTATAAAGTGCATTTGCTGTACAAGCATGAGGGCCCAGCGTTTTATCCCCGGGACCCATGTATAAAAAGCCAGCCACCTCTTAAAATTGCAGGAGGAGGAGACAGACAAAATTCTGGGAGATTGCTGGCCATCCTGCCTAGCCCAGGCCAAGCAAGAGAACCACTCTCAACAAAGTGGAAGCACCTGAGGCGTGATACCCAAGGCTGATTTCTGGGTGTCTACATGCACAAACGCAGAACCCTCTCTCCACACAAAAGAACCTCAAGGGAAAAATAATCTCTCACATTCATGATATGTTAGTGTTGTTTTTCCTGAGCAGGTTTCTCTGTATGTCCACTTTGGGTGCATTTGTGAGGCAATAAACAATCTGGTAAACAATTGCCACCACCAACCATCATTTCATCGCATCCATTCCCAGGCTTGTGTTTTGGGAGGTCGTAGAACCCAACAGCAGCCTGGCTGTCAGAAGTAGGCTACTGAGAGCAGTGGGCCTTGCCTACCATAGCTATCCTGGCTCCAGCCCCTGCTTCCTGCCTCCTCCTCTTTACTGTGGAACCAAGCCACCAGTGTTGGAGCCCCTACAGCCACCATGCCATAATAGGCTCGGAAACTATGAACCCAAATAAGCCTCTGCTCTGTGAAGTTGTCTGTGTCAGGGATTTTAGTCACAGTGGTGTGTTGAGGAACTTCACCTCTGGAAAGACAACCCCCTCCCCATAACCCCACAGGCTGGGTTTGCTCACACAGTCACAGCTAGACTCAGTGTGATGATGGAAAAGGAACACCTTGCCATGTACACTGCTGTGGTCACTCTTCTCTGCCATCAAACCTGCAGTGTTGCAAAGGTCCAACTGCTCCTCCCAGCCCCTTCTCTGGCAGTGTGTGGTCACTTGGACTTTCACTTGAAAGACCACTTTTTAACTTGTTTTGTTTTTCAAGGCAGGGTTTCTCTGTGGCTTTGGAACCTGTCCTGGAACTAGCTCTTGTAGACCAAGCTGGTCTTGAACTCACAGAGATCAGCCTGCCTCTGACTCCAGAGTGCTGGGATTAAAGGTGTGCACCACTACTGCCCAGCTTATGAATCTCATATACTTTTTTTTTTTTTAAAGCAGGGATTCACATGGCTAACCTCAAGCTCCAATTGGCTCTCTTGCCTCCACCTCCTGAGTACTAGGATTACAGGCATGGACTATCATGACTGTCTTAAAAGATTATTTTCTCTTTGTTAAATCTTCAAGGATGGCCAGGTGTTGTGGCTCACACAGAAATGCAGTCCCAGCATTCAGGAGGCTGAACCTGGAAGATCAGAAAGGGCTACATGGGGAGAAACTGTCTCAAAAAACAAAAGTGACTGTTCAAACTTAGAGAAAACAAGAAACAAAATTGTATCCATTACTGCATTAAAAGAAGATCATGTACTGTTAACATAGCAAACGACTCTATGCATTAAAGAAAGGTAAAAGTGAAAACAAAAAACCCTCCAGATATAGATCCTATTTGTTTAATGTCATTGAATAGCAAAAACATTATGCTTCGTGCTTGCTTTTTTCTCCTTTTGTGTCCCCCCCCCATCTGATACTCAGATGGCAAGATGCTTGTGCTGGAGCTCACATTCAGCAAAGAAAAAGGCAGAGCAGAAAAGCCCAGTTAAGTTTTCACTTTGAGTAAACAATCATTCTTAGTGTATTCACCCTCCCAATTTAACTAAAAGTCCTGTATCTGATAACATTCAGGATTCCAGAATTCAATGGATGGGAAAGGTGACCACAGTAAAAGTATAAATTAAATACAAAGGAGCGTTCATATTTGACCTTTTAGGACTATGATATTGTCAGTATTCTTGACAGAATCCTTTTATTTTAGAGGTTTACAAAGCATTTATAGGCAACAGTATATAATATTCAGAATTTGAATTTTCCACAATAAAAGAAAGTGGCTTGGGAAGAGGCATAAGTCTGACATGGTACTGTCACACAAGCAAACTCCTTAGATGTCCTGTGACTGCACGGACACTGTAGAGGAGAAGGGATGGAGAGTCAGACTGGGCCATCTGTGTAGCTCAGCTGGCGAAGACCTCATGTGAGGCATGGAAAAATAAAGGGGGGCGGGGTGGGGGGGTTCTTTCATGCTGTGATCAAACCCTGGGTGCGTTGAACAGTTGATGCTTGGTTGCTGGCATGGTTGGGTGGGCAGTTAGTTACTGGTAGACAACTTTGATGGTTTGCTTTGCTTTCTTCTTGTTTCAGGATTTCCTTCAAATGCTGTTGGAGAACATCCCAGAAGACAAAAGGTGAGGACCAGCATAGGAATTAAGATCCCCATTTCTCTTTTAACATTGAAAAAGGTCCTACTGTCGATTGACCCGTTGTTACAACTCAAGGCAGTTGAGATTTCCTCCCTGTGTGTGAAGGAATCCAGTGCAGCTCCAGAGTCACAGCTTGGCCAGAACACAGGCTGGGGCCAGGGCAGCATGCGGCATGCACAACCCAGGGCCCCTCAATGTGGAATAGGAAGCTCACTGAGGGCACTCCAGGGCTGCTACCCTAGCCCCTGTCTTATTTCTTTAAAAAAAAAAAAAAAGTAGATTAAATAAGAGGTAGCTCCAGTCAATGTGGTTTTATATCAGGGCACACTGTTGAACTGAGGCAGAGATGTGCAGTAAGAGCTGGGCTGCCTCCTGACGTAGTCTCATATCTGTTGCTATGATAAAATACCTGACAAAGAGTGACTTGGGAGAATGGATTTATTTTAGTCACAATTCCAGGTTATGGTCTGTCATTGTGGCAAAGTCAAGACAGCGGGAGCCTCAAACAACTGGTCACATCACATTCATAGTCAAGGGCAGAAAGAACGATAAACGTGATGTTTAGTGTCCAGTTAGCCAGCTTGTCCCACAACAGTTAAGGCAGTCAGACAGTCTCCTGTAGACATGCCCAGAGGCCAACTCACCCACTGAGACAGTCTTCCTAAGTGATTCTAGGCTGTGTAGACTTGGCGGTTAAAACTAACCATCATACTTTCTAATTTCAAAATTTGGAGCAAGTCATTTAAACTGTTGTGGACAGTATTTTAGCAGGGGTTAAAAAGTTGATACCTGTGTTTAAACTAGGTGCTCATTTGATGGTTGGTGTGCCCATTAGACAGAGCCATGTCCCGTGCACAGCCTATGTGTATCGCCATCGGCTCCAACTTTAATGTTTCTCATAATCACCAGCAGAGAGATTAGTAGAAAATAGCCCTGATTGATATGGCACTGGATCCTTGGGCCAACACTCTCACTCAGGGTCTCATGGATGGCAGACTAGCCTCAAACTCAATACATCGCTGAGGGTGGCCCTGAACTTCCGAACCTCCAGCTTCTACCTCCTGAGCACAGGGATCATGGGTGTGCATTACCGCTTCTGATGTCTGTGATGCCTTGGGGCAAACCCTGATGCACACTAGGCAAGCACTCACCCAACTGAGTAACATCCTGGGTGAACGTCGATGTTTTATATGTGATGATTTTTATCCCTGTTTGGCCATGAAGAAAACTGACACCAGTCACCGGTCTATACCTCCGGGGGTAGGGGGAGTGTAGAAATCTGGCTTCCAGAGTTGGGGAAGCTGAGGCTCCAGAGGTAGCTTTTCCCCCAGTGTGTGAGCCCACAGGGACTGGCTCCATCCTCAGACCTTCTATCTCCACACTCAGTGCAAGCTGCCTGACACTCAGGGTTGGATGTGGTCATCTGGGGGACCTGGCCTCATATGGCTGTTAGAGGAAGCCAAAGCCTCCATTACAGATCCAGACTCCTCCACCATGGGTCTCGTAACACCCCCATCCTAACTCCTAAATGTAAACATCTGAAAGTATAGTCTCTAATAGCAAAGCTGACATGCAGACATTAAAGGGGAACTTTTTGAGCAATTTAAGTGTCTCTTTGTGGAAAGGCTGACATTCGTTTTTTTCTTTCTCTGCCCTAAGGGCTTAGCTGTGTTTTTAATGTATGTAAACATTTCCAAGTGTGGACATGAATTCCTTGACACAGATATTGTCTTAGACTCATGCAAGGCCAGTCACTTTTATGTCGCTAAGCCTGACTGATAAGCGGTCTAAATTAGATGTCCCAGGGGTGAGGCCTCAGGGTGAGGTTACATCACCGGGCTAAGTGCAGAGGAGGACTGGCTGTGAGGACATGGAGGATTTTTTCTGCATACTGGATTTCCCCCTGTTGAAACCTCCCTCCCTCCACCCTCCCTTCAGCAGGTGGAGGCCCTGGTTCTGTTGTGGCCTTTCTTTTCAGCACAGGGACTCATACTTGCTAGTCATGCATTCTGCCACTGAACTAAACCCTGATACTGATTTGTGTCTGTGTGTGGGCACATGCAATGAGGACAAACATGTGGCTCTGTGGACTCTCTTCCCTTCCACCTCTAATGTGAGCTCTGTGCATTGAACTCCGATCATCAGGTTTGCACAAAAAGCACCTTTACCCATTAAGCCATCTTACTGAACAAACGCTATTTGTTTTTAAAATACATTGTAGCCAATCCATGCAGCATGCAGAGTCCATGTACTTGATAGATTCCTTGGTCGCTGCCCTTCTGTGCTCATTCACAAGCATAGCCTGCAGCTTGAGTGACTTGGCAAGATGATGGGCTGTTCTGGAGGCTGTGTGCACTAAGGAACAGCCTTGTGTGGAAGGCCGTCAGTGCTGCAGTTCAGCATCCTGGTTTTCTCGTTTGTTTAAGTTAACCTGTTGTGGTGGTGTCTTAAGTAGAATGAGCTATCATTGCTGTGATGGACACCATGACCAAACCACTTGGGGAGGAAAGGGTTTATTCAGCTCACACTTCCACATCACTGTTCATCGCCATTCCGTTCATTGCCAAAGGAAGTCAGGACAGGAACTCACACAGGGCAGGAACCTGGAGGCGGGAGCTGATGCAGAGGCCATGGAAGGGAGCTGCTCACTGACTTGTTCCCACATGGCTTGCTCAGCCTGCTTTCTAATAGAACCCAGGATCAGCAGCCCAGGGGTGGCCCCACCCACAATGGGCTGGGCCCTCCCCCATCAATCACTAATTAAGAATATGCCCTACAGGTTTGCCCGTAGGTCTGATGTCGGGGAGGCATCTTCTCAATTGAAGTTTCCTCTTCTCAGATGACTCTAGCTTGTGTTGACATAAAACCATCCAGCATAGGTGGCGATTCTTCTGCAAGCATCACATCAGATGTGGTTATTGATTATTCAGGAGGAAAGCTGGAATGTTTACACATTTCCCCTCATAACTGGATGTTAAGCCCACAGCCTCACACATGCTCAGCATGTGACTGACTGCTGTACTACAGTGCCAGTCATATGTTCTTTTCTTTATACCTGCCCTCGGGACAATAGCTCAGGGTCTCTGATAAGAGTATAGAGGCCCTTCTTTAGGACATCAAGCAGAGGAATTGGGGAGGGAGGGAGGGACTGAGGGAAGAAGGGGAAATTAATTCATAGATGTGGTGTACGGCCTGTTCTGTTGGTTATCAAGGTACATTCCTTCAGGGAAAAGTTCCTAGGGCAGGGACACAGCAGTTTCCGGTGAGACTGCCCAGTACACTTTAGTTTGGGAGATCCATCTTAATTTTAATCTCCATGGTGCAGTATGGACTTCATTTGGGTGCCCTGAGCCCTCTGGCTCCCAGGGCCTGGATTTTACTGTTGTGGGTGTTTACCGAGGCAATACTCGGGACCCACAGAGAGACTTTTGTTGCAGTTGTGGGGATTAGGGCGGCATCCATGCCCCATGTGGCTGCCAACCGCCCACTGCACTCCTTTGATGGGCACCTTCCCTGGTGAGATCACGCTTTGCCTAGCAGGCTTAAGTCTCATTAGGAATTCTCCTTAAATGATAAAGTAATCTCTTGCCTACAGCAAGCCTGCTTCGCCAAGTATATTGGAGTATATTTTCAAACAGCATCTTCTTGCTGGCCAACTAATCTCAAAATCTAGTTTGCCTACTCAAACAGATGGTTTGCTCTATTACCTATGCAGCATATTGTACTAATTTTATGTGGGCCTCCAAGGACTGCACATCTACCCCCTGGAGCCTCTAATCTTCGGCCCCGGTTGCAAACTGATCCTCCGACACATCTGTTAGGCACTTGAGTCATGCCGAGCAGGCGAGGCTTTGCCAGTCACAATGGCTAGTGCTTCACTGTCACGCTGCCCCTGCCCTGTTGTCTCAACTCAATGTGCTGACACTCTCCGTGGAGCATCTCCTGTGAGGAGACAGGGAAGAATAAATCTAGTGCCAGCCTTCCAAAAGATCCACCAAAAACGCGGGCCATCGCCACCGCCAGCGCAGGGCATTAGAATCAGAGTGTAACAGGTCCGTGAGGTTCTGGGTCCTAGGAGCCACAGACAGCACACTCTTCAGCCTTCCACTTGAAATGAGACCTGAAGCCAGAGCCTGGTGAAGGCTGGGGAATGTCTCTGGCAAAGCATTGTGTGTGTGTGTGTGAGGGAGGGACTGAAGGGTAATGGGAGGCCTAGTAGCGGGGAGATCCATTAGAGACCCCTAGAGCATTTGACTCAAGAAATATTGAGAATTGGGGTTATTTCAGTAATGGCTACAGTAGCAGTGGGCTTCAAAGCAATGAACAGAGCCAGGGGTTTGGTTTGAGAGGTTGCCACAGTTACAAATGGCTGGTTAGTTGTAAAGTTGAATAGAGGAACCAAGTGTGGAACCTGGCTATTCTTTCTTGGCCACTGAGCCACATTCTCAAGTGTAGTGGGCAACTTCTTGTTCCTGGAATCAGCCTGGAGGGGAAGGAGGTGAGGACAAAGTGAAGTGCTCAGGCCATCCAGACAGCACACCATCTTCCTGCTGCCAGACAGCTGTGCCCCACCCCTGGGGGAATGGCTGGTCCAGCAGCTTTGGCTCCTGGGTTCTGGTGTCAGCCACAGCTACTGATTAATTCTTGCCCGTCAATTATAATGTTTGTGTGCGCATGTTCGTGTGTTTGTTTAAACCCCTTGCTCTTCCTCCCCCACAGAGCAGGGAGCACTCACTTGCTATGCCTCATCAGCAGTCTTCATTAACTACCTGAGCACAAATGCCTCGTTTTGATCAAGAAAATGAGCAACACCAAGGAAAGCTCTGAGAAATGTAGTTTGCTTCCACATGTAGTGAAAGGGCTGAAAGCATGACTTACCAATGTTTAAAAGCCTGTATAGCATGTAAGTTGTATTCTAGGACAAGCGCACTCCCATTTCAAACTCTGCTCTTTTTTTCTCTGTCTAGTACCTCTACTTTCAAAGT